GAAAGGATGGAAAATAACCTATTACACAAATATGTTACCGGGGGATAAAACACAGTTTCTTTAACCAAAAAAAATCTTTCTAAATGTCAATTGGCATTCAATGTATAAGGCAACCAAAGGGGGAAAAATGATTACCATGACAATCCAGTGAGGTTTAAACTGCACTTCAAATGACAGGGCATTTATTATAGGTCAAGCTCTTCCCTGAACTGCATCGAGAACATAGTTGTTGTCTGAGGGACAAGTCAGAGCAGATCCCATCTCTGTGTTGCTACTGCACTGAGGGAATAAACAAAGGAGCTAATGAAAACTCAGAGCCATTGGTCTATATTCTGCTAACCTCCATTATGAGAGTTTTCCTTGCGATCAACCTTCTTGCTCATGTGAGCATAAAACACGGTGTTTTAGCACAGGTAGCACCCATCTGTACAATTTGCTGAATATTGGTCTTTTCTGTAAAGTAAAAGATTTTCTTTTGAAAAATATCTAAAAACTTCAACAGGTTTTTCTCTCTCTGTCTCCCAGGTATCCCACACAACCCTGTCGTTTTGGAAAACTTTTATTGCTTTTACCAGCTTTACGTTCTATTAGTCCATCTACAATAGAAGAAGTGTTTTTCAAAAAGACCATTGGGAATGTACCAATTACAAGACTGCTTTCAGATATGTACAAATCCAGTGACATATAAATTACCTTAAAATAAACAATCAGGATGGACAGTTTGAGAAGAACTTTTATCTATGGAGAATAAGCCTCAACTAACAAAATCTACAGGAAGCATAAGCCTGGGAATGTTTAGCCTTTAAACCCATTGACAAAAAATACCCCAGTAGATATGATTCTGCTGCTCTGAACAGAGTGATTTAGATCATGGAGAGAATGCTTTGTTCTACAGAAAAAGTGAAAGTGGTTGGAATTTGGCTGCTATTCCTGTTACTACAGGATGGAGGCAATTCAGATGCCAGTCATAGTTAACAAAGACTTCGCTATTCTCTCATTTAACTGGCAGATCTGAGACAAAATGTGAAAGAAGGTACTTTGGTTTGTTCAGTATTTGGAACCGGGTGACCAAACTTGGCTTCTGTTGTAAGGTGAGATGTGGTGGCCTTCAGAACTGTTTTAAAAGTAGCCTATGTTGGGAAAATGTTTTTAATAAGATAGGCAACATTTAAGACCAGGTTACCAAAACATTGCTTCTGCTATAATACATCATGAAGTGGCCTTCAGAACTGATTAAAAAGTAGCTTATGACAGCAGCTCCATTCTTCCTGCAAAATGAACTGGTGATCTTTGATGTGGATGTCACCACAATTTGTTCGGTTAACATCTCAAAGACAGCAGAGCTTTATACACTTCCTCCCCGACCTTCCCTCCTCCTTCTTCCACACATACAGACACACATTCACATACACACCTGAAAAAGATACAAGTCAAGAAAGGAAGACTAAAACAGCAAAACCAAATACAATGGAGATGACCGCTTCAGTGACCTGCTGGCTGTCCCGTTGGCACAGTGCTGAAACCAAAGGCAACGGTGGCCAAACTCTTTGTCAATGAGATGTGCAGAGAAGTGAAATGACTATTAAAAAAAAAAATCAATGGAAGAAATTTTATTTCAAAGAAATAAAGGTTGTTGACTGATACAATGCTAACAATTTCCAAAAGTCTCCAATGCCTTTTTAGAAAACTCCAGGTTCTAATTTTGAAGCCTTGTTCGCCTACACCCTCTCACACAGAAAAACATTATAAGCTGCTTATTTGATGTATGAAAAATGTAGAAAAAACATTTAAAGATAGCTGCTGTACTTTTCAAAATTTGATTTGTTATTAGGAACTAGCACTGAGAAAAATCAGCACTTGGACTATCATAGAATGAGTAAAACTTTTCCTGTACAAAGTGGATTAACTGATTTGTGAAGTTAAAAAAGTTGTACTCATTGTATTTACAAAGAATAAAAATATATTGAATTTAAATTACTTTCCACTGTGCTTTTAATGCTTGTCCTTCTATTTCTGGATCAGTTTCTTCCACTGTACCCTACTTACCAGGGAACAGAAATATTCTCTACTAAAATGGATTGCCTTGGATGCTGAGGAGTCTCCATCATCAGAGGTTTTAAAAAACAGTTTAGATGAGTATTTGAGGAATAGCTTAGGTGATCCTGCTGTGGGGCAAAGGGACTCTGAGGGCCTTCATAGAGCTGTTTTCTATAATTCAAATATACACCTGCTGCAAGGTTTCCTTCTCAAGGAGCTGACACAGAGCTTTTTCTAGGACACAATACACTAAACAGATCAGAGGTCTAACCTAGTATAAGTCTTCTGTTTCATGTTGTTTCAATTTTTAGTATCGGTGAATTGTGCAGCTAACAAAGGGTGATGAGTACAAAAACACTGCTTCAATTAAAAAGATTCTGAGGTTTTACTAAGGTGTCCAGTTGTGTAATCACACCAAAGGAAGAGGTAAGCAACTCCCAATGCACAGGAACAAGTTAGCAATAGGAGAAGGGAAATATAACATATTGTTCATATGGCAATGAGTGACCAAAGAGCCATGCACACTAAAATGACAGGTGGAAATGTACAGTGTGTATCAATGGCTCATTGGTTTTCAGTGTCAAGGAATACAGATCACAAGTGAAATCCTAGCTCCATTGACTCCAAGCACAAAAATCTCATGTGTTTCAGAGGTCAAAGTTTTCACCCTATCTCTCTTCCATTTGTGTGGTTTGCTAGGTGTCACATTCTGCCCTTTCCAAGACAGCCAGACCATAAACTATACAAGACCATTCTTTTCATGAGTTGGGTAAGACAAAGCATGGACTACAGGACTTTGAAACATCTTCTATACAAACAAGCATGGAGCACTTGAGGATGCGTTTACCACAGGGCATAGCAATTGTTAGAAAAAAACCAACACTTTATGGAGTGTTCTTACCGCACCTGTAATAACCTTTAACCATCTTCTGCTCTCCACACTAAAATGAACTGGACAGGGCAGAAAACCAATTGTGGCTCTCCACTCTGTGACAATTCAGTTTATGAGCTAAAGAAGTTGAACCTACTGCTGTGCAGAACCCATGACAGAACACTCGTTTCAGTAAGATTCATGCTGCTATCCTGGAGCAGCAATAGACATGAACTGTATCCATGCTGCAAGGCAACCGCACTCTGCAGCATGCTGTAGTCCCAGTCCCTACCTCACCCAGGCTAGAGGATGCAATAGAGTGTACTGCCTTTCTCCCAGTTGCAAAGCAGGCAAGGGCAATGGGTGCACACCCACGTCTCATCCTCTTACCTGCAGGAACCTAGGCCAGCTGCAGAGCAGACTTCATGAGCTGGGAACAATGCTCAGATCCCTGTGGTTTAGGCACAGCTAATCTCAGACCATGTCTTCCTCCCAGCACTGCAGGCTGCACAGAAGCAGAATCAGTTACACTGCATTGTGTTATGTTACATTATGCATAGTTACACTAGAATTAGGGTCTCTAGTTAGCCCCAAAGGACTGAAGGCCAGGTGAAATCCCAGGGTCCAGTGCAGATGTCCTGTCAACCTCAAAGGTTAACACTCCAAAGCCCTTGCTTTGAAAATAGGAATACTTTGACACCAAGCATGCAGCTTTTCCTCTTCAGCTAACCCCTCCCCCCCACCCCCAGCAAATGATACAGATTTGTGTCATCATCTTTTAGGGATGAGATGGAACATTTACTCTGATTTCTCAAAGAAGCTTCTCTCAGAAAAGAACATTTGAGAAAACAAAAAGAACACCTTACTGTGTACCTAAGCCTAAATAATAAAACTTCATGTATTTAGCCCTTCTTTCCCCATTTCCAAGAGTAACTCAACTTCTAACTGCAATTCAACAAGCACAGGGAATTTTAGAATTGATTTTACATTATGAAAAACTTCTTAAAAAAAGCTTGACAGCTCTTGGCTGCAAGTGGGCTCTGTCAGTTTTGCTCCCTATTTTCCTGAACAGGACTGTTGAAGAGATTCAGCACAGCCTTTGTTAAGTATGAGGGGGAAAGAGCAATTATTTGAGCATCTAACTATTCTGTGTAGCTAGTCACTAGTACTACATATAATCCAGTCAGCCACCACTGTTTTGTCAGTTCAATCTTTTACATCCAGATTTCCATAAATTAGGTTAATGGTCTTAGCTAAAGGAAACTAATCAACTATGCCAGTAAGTTTGTAAGATGTTCTTGACAGAGATAAGAAGTACTGTAAGAAGGAAAAAGGGACAGATCCAAGTCTAAGCCAACATGTACAACATTACCAAATAGCACAAAACACTAGATCAGACTGCTGCTAGAATATTCTTGAATCTGTTTTCAAGAGCATCTGGATAGGTAACTCCCATGTCACATTTGGAAGCACTGAGGAAGCTTCTCCAGCCATAGAAGCATCTAGTGAGAAAGGAGACTTCAGCAGTGTTGCTTGCGAATTGCAGTTCAGACATCAACAACTTGCATTTCACCAGTGGTCATACAAGCACAATGCTACAGCTTCCCCTTCCTTTAGCGTTCAGGGAAGTGGTATGATCATATCTTATAGCAGGCTTGTATGACTTCATGCCCCTAATTGTATTTGTAGAGCATAGCTACTTTAATCTAGGACTGAAGTTATAATGTATTACAGGTTACATCAACATTCCTTTATCAGTGGGATGGTATAATTTTGAAGTTGAAGCTAGACTGATGCCTCTCAAGCAGATATGTACTCTTTTCTCAAACATATTGAAGCCACAGATCTGTTGACTGCCTACCATGAATGGGGTTCCAGCTTTGGCTCCACAACACAGGAACAGCCTTCAATACCTTTATATGTTCTTTAACACTTGAGCAGTGAGTGCCAGCATCTAAGGGTATGTAGTGCTGGCTGTTAGTAACACAAGACTACATTGCAGAAGAGCATCACAGCAAGGCTGAAACACCAGTTCACTTAGTAGAGTCAAGTCCCTACTTTTCAGAAAGCATAAGGTACCCCACACTCAAGGTCAAGAGTGACAAAACATTTGAAGTGCATTTTCACTTTTATTTCAAAACTTTAGACAAGTTACTTTAGTATATAAATTTGATTTTTTCCTCTTACAGAATATAAAGATAATTCCCTCATTACTTCAGTATAAAGTGTTTTACAAGCTTGAAGACAATTGCATAAGTGTTTCTCACACAGGGTATCAGAAATAAAGCAGTCTTTCTACAGAAGTTCAGACAGATGACTACCTCAGAAACAGCATAGCAGTTTAGTCAAATACAAGTGAACACGTGACACTACAACTGTGCAAGTTCAAGTAAGGCCAAGTCAGTAAACATTGTTAAGTCATTGCAAATAAGAGTGGAAAGGTTTGTGAGACATTGCAAGGGGTGGATGGTCTCATAGTATAATACTCTTAAATCAAGGATTCAGAAGGATTTAGCTAAAAGACAAGTGAGTTCTTTAATGCTATAAAGCATATGCAAAGACCAAGCAGTGTACTGATGTTAGTGGAGACTTCGTGCTTGTTTATCCTCAGCATGCTAAGACAAACTACAACCTCTTAAAACCAAGCATAAGAGCCACTAATGTTTGAGAAGATGGTTTCAGAACTCAAGTATGTCTTATTTTGGATGGTGTGTAGTTTTTGTCTATTACTTCATCTTGTAAGAACATGTGAAGACAGCGCTCATTCTGTGCCAGTGGATGGCCTGCAACCCTGGAGAGGAAAAAACAAGCATTAGTGCTAACAAATTGAGCATACTTGCAGCTAGCCAGCAGAGCAAGGCTTTATACCAATAACCTATGATTCTGCACTCAGGCATAGATCCCACTTCCAGTTCACTGTTGGTGACTAGAATGATGTCTGGCAGCAAGATTTGTCATTCTTCCCAGATGAAGTTAGTCCATAGGAACCCTGAGCTACCTCTGATCATTTGGAACCATGTTATGTCATCATCTGCCACCTGCAACTGAGGGGCCCATCAGAGCACCCATCCTAGCATTAGGAAACCTAGAGTTAAGCAAGCCAAGCAGATTTTTACAGGTCTTTGTGCCTTTAACACAGGACACCTTTTAAAGGCAGCTCAACCCCTCAGTTCTCAGCCTACTCAACAGCAGCTAGCCCAGGCAGAGTTGAAGGCTTACTCCAGCAGGGGCTGTGCAGGTCTTCTGGACGCTCTGACACTGTGCAGAGCAGTGACTGACCATGGTCACTGTTCCTAGCATGTGCAAGCAGCACTGATGCATAGTCAGAGGATACTGGCCATTCTGTTAATTGCAGATATCTTTAGATATGAAACATTGGAGACAGAGCTTGTCTGCTTTAGAAGAGACCAGCACCTCTACTGTAGATTTAGTTTTGTTCCACATATAGACTGAGCCACCATCCTTTTTACAGTAAAGGAGCTGAAATTGAATTAGAAGAGACTCCCAAGCTTGGAAGAAAGACACAAGGTATTGCATCTAAACCCTTAAAATAACATGCAGCCTTCTGTGTAGGTAAAAATACAAAAGAATCAGAATCTCTGGAAGTTGATCACTTATGGATATGAAAACCTAAAGCAGTTTGGTTTAAAAAAGTTACATCCAGGTTGGTTAATCAAGACAGGCTCCTTCCTTTAAGAGAGAAAGCCCCCCACCCTCTCTAGGACAGCTTGTGTCAGCCTTATGTCCTCCATATCTGTCAGAACATTTCTACTCTAAATGGAAGTTATCTAGTTGAACACACGTAATGCATAGTCAACTCATGGCTCAGCATCAGTACTTCCAAGCGCTTTTGCGCAACTTCTCCAAATGTATCTATTAGTGCTTATTTCACCACAGGACAGATTCACTTGTCGCTACCCACTTGTCATTGAGGGTATCCTTTAATAAGGAAGCTGAGCTCTCCTGTTCAGCATTGATAGACTATTTCAAGTGAAGTCACAAAACCTATTAATCTTGCCAGATTCTAGTAAATGGGCAGCACTCTCAGGCACTACTTCACAAGGAAGACAGTCTGGAAAAACTAGTTTCTTACCCCCATCAGACTGAAGCTGCTTGCCTTGAAGTTCAAGAGAAGGATATACAGGAGATGATGAGGCAGCAGCATATTCCTTCTCCCTTTCAGGAAGGCTTGCAAATTGGTGGCTCAATTGCAAGACTAGATCTGATATCTCAGATTCAGCTCTTGGTTTCACATGAATACCTCACTCTGCATTGGCTTTTCCTCAGTATTCTTCTCCAAGGTGACCCTTACACAGAACAGCTGCTACTTCAAAAATTTTTATGTATCCCAAAGTCAGGTTCAGGCAAAGAAGTGTATTGCAACATGGCTACCCCTGTGAATGTCATTGTAGGTAGTATTGATGGTGGTGCCAGCAAGCTGGCCCAAGAGAGCTGACTCAAGTAAGATGCACTGCTGTGATTTAGTCCCTCTCAGTTTTACATCTAGAGTGACAAAGCTTCTCAACAACATCCTGGATATCAAGAACTGTCACTGGTGCATCAAGTTATTTTTTGGATACAGTGATATCAGTTATCTGAGGGACTCTTTAGTTCTAAGAGCAAAGACCAGCTTTGAGAATGCAGTAATGTGACTGTATTATGCAAATTAACTTCAGGACTAATTTCACTAATACCCAGAGTACTTGGTAGAAGCCTTAAAGCTTCTACATCGTTCAAAACTTTAATTAGCAATATTTGCTTGATGAGTTGGTCATGCCATTAGAACAAATTGATGAGGTTGAATAGCTAGGAGTTCTGCCTGAAGAATCTTGTTCCAGCTGTACTCAAGTCTGCCACTACATCAATATCTACATTAACAGCCTGCTTTTATGTTTCAAAGGAGGAAAAATTGACCAAGAAGTTTTATACTTCCATAAGATCAATGTATTACTTGCTGTAGGACTGAACAAGTGATACCAGTAAACCGGCCACTCCATTTCTGTCAGCTGTATTAAGTTTTTCAGAGATTCTAGTTGACTGTTTCACTATCAGCTGCTTCAGAACATAAACAGCCCTCTTCCCCCACACATTGCTAGACTCAGTATACAAAACTTTTCAGCAAGTGCACTTCTTCCACATGTAATACAGAGTCCCAAGCCTGCATGGATAAAAGTTGTACTTTACAGTCATGACTGCCTTGATTGTACAGTCTTAAAAAAAAAAACCACATTTCTTCTTACTATAAGCACATCTGCCTTCATGTAGTGTAAATGCAAAACTAGATGCCTTGGAAATTCATTCCACTTGTCTTTGAACAGAGGAAAGAGCATCCTGAAGCATTTTACCTGCTCAGAATCATTAGCAGTACCTCTAAATTGAGCTAACAAGCAACTACGTGAAGAAAAACTTAAGGTATTTCATACAGTGACACTTAATTTACTTGCACAAAAAAGATGGTTTTAGTGAACTAGTCACTTGCAACTCCAAGCCACATGCCTGAACTGACTAACAATAACTGATGAGCAGATGAAGTTCTGGCTTAAGTCACAGACATCCTCTGTCCCTGTTAAACAGCATTATTATTGAACAAGATTACAATGCTAGTGGAACTAACAAGCTTGAACTTTTAAAGGGAGCAGTCCCAAATCCAGTTGGTCTGAACAGTGTTGGCTCTAGAGACCAGAAGAGTGGGTTAACTGACAGTATTCCTTCTTACCCACTGTTTGGATCCACATTGTTAAAAAGACTAAAGTAGCTCTTCAGGTCACTATATGGAGAGCAGTTAGTAGTGCCAGATGGTAGAAAAAGAATCATAAGACTTTGTTACTATGATTTCTGCTCACCCTTTGAAAGGCAGTGACAAAACCCAAAGTGTCTATTTCAAACTACGTATGTGCATACCTCAGGTAGCATTTTTACATTTCAGAAAGATTCTCATGATGATTAGGGAAAATATGCATCATTACACAAGCTGATAATACCTCACATCTGCAATCAAACTAAACTGCTGTAAGCCCATTGTAAGCCCCATTGTTCACCCAATGGATGACACCTTTTCAGAAATGAAAAGGTAGAACTGTTTTGAATACTATAATTTTAGTAGTAATTTGCATAAACACTAACAACACTAACATTCAATTCAGCTGTTCAGGTAAGCATTAGGATATTCAAACTAAACACTAGATGAGCAATGTTAGTATGTCCTACCACAAGATTATGTGAAAGTTACTATTCTGAACCTAGAGCAGCTAGCATAATTGGAGGATTAGCAGCTTTAATTGAATTTGCTGGAGCTGAGTTCTGGGTTTGTCTCCAGATAACTAGAACCAACACTTACTTGTTTATGAATTGTTCAAGAGCCTGCTTCCTTTCCTCTATAAAGGAATCATCAAATATGCCATCATCTCCTCGGAAGGGGAGCTGACGGAGAAGAGCTTTTCCTGGTAGAGGTGGTACCACAACCTGAAAGATTTAGAAAAGTGGCCTTAAGTGCAGCCTGTAAGTAAGTTTATATACCTCCTGTGTCACCTTTTCCTCCTAGATGACCCAACTCAATCACATCCTTAGTGAAGTAATAAAATGTGACCAGGGAAGAACAGTATCTGCCATAGAGGTAAGTTGAATTCATGTAGTTTAACTCTGAATTAACTCAAAAGCATTAAACAGCCTCTAGTGTTGTGCAGCTGAGGTTTGCTAAAAGACAGTGTTTTAGTTCTGGACATTTTCAACAACAGTATCTGTTCTATATGATATATATGCATAATGATAAGATTTCAGCATCACTACTCTTTGTATGGCTATGAAGATTTGTATTTACCTTTTGTTTTACCCACCTTGCTTTCTCTTTCTAGTTCATTCCTTAGCCATTCAAAGTCACTGTATCTTCTTCTGACTGTAGATTCTTTCAATTTGAAGATTGGTAGATTTGTCTGAAAACAAGCACATAAGCTATTGATTAGACAAATTAGAAGTTCTGATAAGCAGAAGCAAGAAACAAGCTGTTATGTTGCAAATTAGTTCCAATTCAGCAACAGTACTGAGAAACGCTCAAGATACAGAGCTTTATCTGTATTTCTGTAAGCTACATGAGTAAGCTCTCCCTCAAACTGCTTAACTGTGGGCCTCATTTATATGGCATCCTAATCACTGGTATTTTGCCACCATATCACCCAGCAGAACAGCAGATTTGTTGGTCACTCGAGGAGATGTTCTTAAGGTTGCACACGCATCTTCTATTCTTATGGTCTCAGAAGATGGATTCCCAATACATGTACAAAACCGGGGCGAGGCAGGTAGGGGGGGAAATCATCTTAATCCACACAGGTTCCTCTTATTGCATTCAAGGCAGTATTTCAGGTACCAGCATAGGACATCAACCAAGCTTCCTGTACTTTTCTGCTACCTGATACAATATGGCCTCCAACATCTTTAAAAGCAAAACCAGAGAGTCCTACAGTTAACATTCAGGACAGATGAAGCTGAAGATTTGCTAGTATAAGCCACCAAGTTTGGATAGCTCCAAAGAAGCCAACAAGGCTGAGATGCAACACAACATTCAGTGCAGATGAGATCAGACTGTTCTGGTGCGAAGTTAAACCAAGCAGAGCTTGATGAGGCAGAACTTCCCTAAACAAGGCTAGGAGTCACCACCCAACTCTAACACCCTTGAAAGAGACATCAAATGGGAGCCAGGCTATAATGCTGCACAAGATCATGTTAAATACATGAGCATTTTGATAGGTGTCCTTACACTAACTTGGGCAAGAGCCTAGATTACCTCTATTCATTCTTTAGGTGCAGGGTTATCCCATTGTTGTAATCCAACTTGCACATTATTTTAAGAGTTGACATCAAGAGTGCTCTCCTAAAGAATCAAAGTTCCCAGAATGGAAAGCTCCAAAAATCACAATCTGAAGCTTAAATGTCGTTGAGATTGCAAACTGGCTAGAGTGTTACAAAATGTTTGTACGAGTTATGACCTACTAAAAGCAGACCAAGAGTCTAATTGCCATACATAACCAGCACTAACAAAATAAAGCTTACTGTTGTCAGACTCCTGAGGAGTACCCTAAGAAGCTGATGTTCACATGGGACCACAGTTATCCCCAGTTTTCCTGTTGGCAGAAGCACAGTAGTCATTCTCAGCTAGTGCCTTCTAGTTTTTGTTGTTTTATTTTTTCAAGTTGTAAGCCATGTCACTCAGCTTCTGGTCCCAGTTTGAGTGGATATCCCTGTACAGTATCATTTGTAGGCTGTTACACTTAAGCTATCATTGAGTGATATTTTTGGCTGCTCAAAACAGGTTTAATTGCAGAAATACTTTCCTGCACTAGGCAGACCTATGACTATAGGCCATTGTATTACTGCCAGCCAATAATGAGTTTTTGGCTGTTGCAATTCGAAAGTATTGAGAAGTTAGCTGTGTACTTTCACATTATGCTATTTAGTCCATAATTTACATATGATAAAGTACAGAACAGTATTTTGTTATGAAATCTCTTATTGCTAAATGTTTAAAAGTACTCAAGCTCTCCTTCCCAGGTAAAACATTGTTGATTGTACTAGTGACTAATAATAAAATTGCACTTAAGACTATAAAGCCTGACTTCTGACATAATAAACAAACACTGTGATCCTGAGGATAAGAATACTCTACTCAGGAGTGTACAAAGCTAGGTTCCCAAAAGTGCATGAAGGAGATTCCCAGAAGCAAAGTACTGGATTATTTTTCTCCAATTTCAGCTACTGGCTTTTTAACCAAGTTCAGCCTTCCCCATTACAACATCAACTCTTTGTCAGCATCTTGGGTAGAAAGTCCTTTACAATATTTAACATATAGGCTCTCACCTGCAGAAAATATTCCATTCTTCTCTCAAGTTACTTACAAGAGGGATTAGAACAGAATAAAAGCAGCTAAAAAACAGAGTTCCCAGGTCTTCAGGAACTCTTTTCATGCTTCTGGGCATGAAGTCTATAAAGTTAATCTCTAAACAACATATCAGGCTTACAGGTACAATGTGGGGGTAGAAGTGCCAATTGAGCTCATTTTACCTTCTACACTCCCTTTTGAACTTTTGACATGCTAGACCAGCTAACAGGTTGGAGAAAAGGACAGTCAGAGTACTTGTTTTCCCTTCGAGTTGAAAAATCTTCTCCAACTTTGATCGTAAGCACTGGAAATGTTCAAACTGAAGTGTATACTAGAAGGCTCCCATTAAATTAAGCGGCTTACGAGTCACAACTTGACAACTACATGCTAAAGGAACATGTACACCCCCTGTCCTTTGGTGTGGATATGAATTAGAGCTATCTGTTAAGATCAATTTCTAAACCTCATGTTCCTTAAGAGCCATTCTCCTTCCTCCAGAAATTAGTACTTAAATAGAGCAGTGTTAGAAAGGATCTATTTAAAAAAAGCAATTTGAGAGTCCTCTTTTATACTGCTTAACCTATTTACATCTTAGGTCCCTATTTTTAACTCGGGTATATTCACTCCTGAAGCTACTGTATGTGCTTCTCCATTAAGGATTAGTACCCTGCTTGAGCAGACCACTTTTTCCTTCAGTAGGAAAGGTTTCTGTATGTTCTACTGCCTCTGTTTACCATGGATAGATAGTTTTCATTAAGCAACCCAGACAGCTGCTGAAGCATGGGCTATCATTGGGAAAGAATTTGGTAGAAGGAGACAACCCTAAGGTGTAAACAGAAACTTTCAATTTCTACTGAAGTATCACTTCGAGACCATACAGCATATCAAAGTTATTCTCAGCTTCACAGTTTATGTTGAGTTATCCTTGTTTAGTCACTGAGGTGCCAATAGCTATGCTGACCACTTAGTGCTTTGTTTGCCTGCTAGAACAGAAATGAGATTAAGGCACAAAACTTGAAGTCAAGCTAGTTTTATTTTTTACAAACATTTCTCCCCATGCTCATTCAGCATTATAGTGTCGGTTTCCTGGCCTGCTGATGTGCTAAGTCTACAGTCACAAAATTTGTGACCCAGTTTGGCACAGCCCCTGGAGCATAGCTCATTCATCTGATAAATTCAGCATAATTACTGCAGCAATTGTTTCTTCTACAGTGTAATAATTAGTCTCATTTTTATCAAAAGCATTTTCAACAACTTCCTAGCCTGAAATCATCCCTCCTAGCATTCTGAACGCAAGTCCTCAACCTGAAAGGATTATAGACAACCCAGGACATTAGACAACCAGAAGTCACTAGTCAGAATTGCAGATAAAGCATTAATAAGCTCTTCAGAAGTCTCATATAACCCAAAATCCTAAGCATAGAAAGATGCCAAGACAAGTTAGACCCTGTCTAGCACTGTTTCTGTATCAGACTATACATATACACCCACCAGGCTTTCTCTGACTACTGTCAAAATAACAGTCTGTATTATGCTGGGTGAGTTAATGGTCAAGCCAGTACACTAGAATAAACATTGTTAGAACTGGTGCCAAATTAAATTACATAGTTAAACAGCAGATGACAAACCTAGACCCTTAAGTCACTCCTGCATTCCTCCACTCAGATGCCAAACAAGTTTCTACAGTCATTTGGCCAGTGTTCAACTAACTGGTAATGGAAAGCAGTGGTTGCCTGCTAAGAGATTTTAGGGCAAAACCTGTATTCGCAGAAAGCGTATTTCTTCAGCTACATTTATGTTGTTATAACATATTCAAACTACAAGTCCAACTCCAAGCTCAGGAGGTTCCCAGTTCAACTCAGAAGCAAATGACAGTCCTAAGACAGCAGCTTGGATAACCAGATAACAGCCTTCTAGCTGTTAATACGGTCAATCCCTGAGCTATGCCCATTTAGAAGTCTAAAAATTGTTTATGTATACAAGTGAAGAGACTTTCACAGGCAGAATGCAAGTACTTCAGTATAGTTGATACCATCCATTCAGCTTCAGATACACAGCTCTCCAATGCAGCCATTCTAGTACACAAGTTACCTTAAACGCAGGAGGAAAACTAGAGTACTTTATTTAAAATACATTAGTTTATAATTCTAAGTAATTAAGTGTTCTGTTATCTAGATTAGATTAATTTACCCAGTGAGTGGAAAAAGCCTTGCAAATAGCCAGACTTGCCCCTACAAATTTGTTTCCAGACATAAACTGAATGCAAATAGCATTTGGGTTCCTTCAAAGAGCACACTGACAGTCCACAAGATTGACTCTAAATGTCACTGCAGCCCAGTCCACCCTCACAACTGCAGAAACTCCACAGCTGTAGTTGTCCAGAACAGTTTGAGGTAAATTTGATTCATTTCCTCATCTGCCAATGTAACACTCAGCAGCAGCACAACATTGCCCATGTCTCCCACTCCTAAGAGACTGAGAATAAAGCTGCACTGTTGCCATAGCACCTACTTTGATGTTGTCTTTTCAAGTAGGTTATGGTAGCCTTGACACAACTCTATTTCCATTAAAATAGAGTGAAAGAAAGCACTCAGCTCACTTCTGATAGAAGTTTGTGGCCTTGACTCTCAGAAGCTAAATTCAAGCTTCTTACTATCTCTTCATACAGGCTGTAATCTTTGTCAAGAGACTACACCCTTTAGCTACATTTACAGTCAGAAATGAGAGCTCTGGGGTATTACAGTAAGTAGCATTCAGGGTGGATAAAAGTGTTATGGTTTTCTTAACGCAAGAGCCTGCTCTCCTTAAGTATGAGAAACCAGCTCTGGCAGTCCACTGTTATTGCAGAAACCTTGCCAGTGGCTTCTTCCCTTCCCAACTTGACATAAGCAGCTACACCCCCATTTCCTACAATTATAAAAAGCAAAAAAGGAGGCAAACATACTCTAAACTTCAGTTGCTAGAAGTTTCTATTTCTACTGTGTACTTTACTGAAGGAAAGCCTCTCCCACTGTGAAAGGTCAGATAATAGGTTGGGTTTTTTCCCAAGCTTCAGCCCTTTTGATCAAAGCAGAGTTCTACTTCTCCTTTTATCTACTTGGTGT